CAACAACTGCCAACGGACTAAAATTAGTGAAGTAGTGGTTAGACCATCATTCGCTGGCCACTATCAAACACCTGGAATCGTATCGTAAGAATTATAACCAAGAGCAAAGAAATCGGTTGGTTCACAGTAGCTCTTGAAAAAAAAATTCGATATTGGGTTGTACCATATTTTACATAATCTCTAACTGTTAGTTATATAAGTTTTCGACCACATGTGGCTGGTAGGTCCAACTCAATTATCTCGTTTTTGCAACATCTGTCGCACGAATAGGACCTTAAGGCTTAGGTTTTTTCTTATCAAAAAATGACTAGTAACCATGAATGATGCAAGCAAGCGATACTAAAATGTATTTCCATTGGGTACTCTATACTAAGTACAGAGGGGTATTTAGGATGACTGTTATTTCAGAGAAAGTTTAACAACGTCACCGATTGGCAAGACTCTCGAAAGTCTTGTAATATTAGTCATAATAAAAACTAAATACTTTGTTTGATCTAGGTTCACGGATTTTGTGAAGCATCAGCGGTTCGATCTTCAAGGACATTCTCAGTTTGGATTGCTGTAGGCATGACTTCGTAGTCTACTTACTTAAAGATTCTTTTCAAAGTATTATCTAAGACTTGTTAACATTTAGATGGTTACTAAATAATTTTTTGAATATTGCTTCTTACATTTTGCTCTTTCTCCTTTTCCAGCATATTGTCCCATTCAGTTTTTGGTCTACGTTCTACTGCGTTTATTCATTTATCAGCCTAACCGGGTGTTATAAACGTTCTTTGTATATCGGTTGTTTAACTACGTCCATCACCAATGTCTGATTCGATTTTCGAGGATTTATCTGCTCATGTCAGGGTTCCTGACGATGAGGAAAAGGTTTTCAAGGATGAATGTCCGTTTTCGTTTGAGACGCCTGAGACAGAAAAAGGTATATACATCTGTATGCGACACTTCGTTGCAATTGGGTCTAAAATCCTCAGACTTTACCATGAAAAAACTGGCTGTCGTGCTTTCTTAAGATACAAGATAGAAAAGCAATTCAAAGATAAGGGTATGTTTCTAATCTGATGGTACTCCATTTTCATATCTTTGCAATTTAAAAAGTAGTAGCTGTAATTATGAATTTTTAGGCGCAAGTATACACAGTTTACTATATTTCAATCGTATCCAACACCGCTATATTTTAAACTGTTTGTATCATTGTTTGGTTCCCCGATTACTTTAGACTACACAGGTAACGTCGCCTATATATTTATTCGACGTCAATTATCTATACTTGAACTGTATTAAGGTTTTGGCGAATTATCTTAAGAAAGCGTTCAAGATCACTGTGGATCAGTCATGATCCAGTTTGTATTATACCATCTCTTTCCTCTTTACCCCTCATTATTCTTTACATTGCTACCTTATTCCATATCACGTCCAGTTTTAGTCTTAGCCCACGGTAATGACTACGCACATTACCTTTAAAAGTAATTTAATCCTAATATTAGGATGTTTGAAACCTTTCCGATTGTTTTATCAACTTATCAGGATTTCCGAAAACCGGATAGCCATTTTTTTCATATGAACACATCTAATCTTTATCTTTCAAAAATCGAGATGAGTCGAACTAAAAGGGTTGAGTCCTAAATAACAGTTCTGATTATCAGCCTCATAATTTCTCGATCTGTGCACTTATTCGGGTTACATTGGGTACTAGTCATTTAAGCACGCGTGAATTCAGTTCACAAATAATTCCTAATTCTTAAGTAGTTTTAAGCAATCTATCTACCCATTACTTGTATACCCCTTTGGATCGCTAATTTAAATGTACTACCATCAAATGAGATGCGGATTTATTAAAAAGAATATTCATCTATTTATCCTTTTTACTAAATAACTAGTCAGTACCACTGTCGTCTTTTAGAGCTACGTATATTACACCCACACATCCATGTACAGTAGGCATGAAATTATTTCCTATTTTATCTTATAGACTTCACCCCCATTATTTACTCCGGATTCCCTCTCCATTATCAACCGACTGAAGAGCCTTTAAATTAATAGTTTGGGCTATTCAATTCCATTTTCAATAGCCGGTGTCGTTCAATATTACTCAAAAGCACAGAAAAAATGAGTTGGATAATCTCCGTGTTATATGTCTAAATAAAAGAACCTTTTTCTTACTGTAATTATATAGGTGCTAGTGCCCAAGAACATCCAACAAAACTCGCTATTGGAGTTTCCGGGGGTTTTGATTTTCCTCAAGATGCGTATACAGTCACTGAACATTGGTCTCTAGTACGTCTTCCGCAAGGTGATTCGTTTGAAATCCCGAATCCAGAACCCGGGCAAGCACTATCTGATATATCTCATTTACAATTTTTGGGGCTTCCCAAACGCCTAGCCAATTCGATTGCATTAATTCAACGTGCTGAGTCAGTATTACTAGCAGAAGAGAGAGCTAATTCACTTAAAGCTTGGGAAGATGATAATATTTGTCTCATTTCTTCGTATGCAATGAATCTAGTACAAATAAATAATTCCGTTCGGATCCCTCCATCGTAAGTTAACATTATTTATACATCATGTTTTTGAGTGAGCAAATCATGCATCACTTTTATACCAACTTTTAGTGCTAATTACGCTCCTGTCTGCTTTCGTCTCTTCCATTATACCGATATGGTTCATAGTAGTGAGTTTGGATTACCGTATACGGCCTAATGGGCATTTCATTTATATGGTATTTTGTGGTTTGTTTTATGATATCTTAATGTTTTGTAGTTGTTAGATGCACCACTTTGAATGAATTATACTATTTAAAAATAGATAATATAAGAACCCTTCAATTTTACACTACATATCAGTTAGTCAGCTACAACGTAAAACGTGGTATGTAGGTACATCAGTTCAAGTTGCTTTACCACGTCAGCATATAGAGATAAAAGTGTCAATTCAAATTCCATAGTAGTTGAGGTAGTGTCAGTATTGGCAGCAATGGAGATTAGGGTTCGGCGATATGTTTCAAGAGGTATAATCCAGTGAAATGAATTCAGGAGATCAGAACGTTAGAGAAGGCAAAGAATGAGTGCACCTTCGCCATTGCAAACGATTTTGAGCCATGTCGTTCAAAGTCTAACCATCCGTTGCGAGTATCTCGCGGATCCCAACCCATTAGTTTACACCTATTAACATGGCTCAGTCCATTAGTCAATGGATTTGTGCCATGTTTTGAATAGGCAGCGCCTAGCATTCTGACGTCAGACAACTTCGCTTATCTAGGCAGTTGGTGCTAAGGCAGACTCAACTCATCCCAACTGTTGAAGATTTATTATTTTTTCACTTGATCTGCCGTCCTAGCCAAGCACCCTTCTCCTAACGCGGCACCCTTTTCGTAACTTCAGAATTACCTATTCTGTGGTCCCAGAATATACAAGCAATACTTCTAAGACCCGTATGATCGAATACCAGTGACCGACGGATATTCTCAGTTCTTAGTGGACATGGTTCACACCCTCAGTAAACTCGTCAATGATGAAGTTGAATAGGAATATTGAGAGTGGACATCTCTAAACACCACTTTAAGTATTGATGCGTGTCTGAATGTGTCTGTGTTCTAGGATCTACTGAAGTGTGAACATTTGGCTTAAGAATCAACGATCACGTCTAAAACTAATCTGGTTTTCTCGATTTTGCTCCTCATGAACTCTAGTTAGGCGTCCAAGTGTTATTGAAGCTGATATCTTAAGCACTATATTAGTTGAACTGATTCATCTCTGATTGTCACAAGGGGAATTTTGTCCTTTCTCATAGACTGAGACAATCACTGATTGAGACCAGTCAGATGGGATTATTTCCAGTTCCCTACCTAAGATCTCAGTCAATCAGCTGCTAAAACTGAACCACCATCCTTAAAAATCTCAGGCTTTAGCCTATTAAGACCTGTTGCTCTCCGTCGTCTAAGATTGCTTATAGTCTTTTCCACCTCATTAAGAGTTGGAGGACTTATATCAACTCTCGATTCAGGATGATTGGAGGTCGTGGAGAATCACAGTGCGGCTGAAGGCCAACTGAACTGATCCGTAGTGCTCTACTTATCGATCTAATCTCCTGCATTAAGAATGAATAATATGCCCATCTTTTTCCAAAATAGTCACTCTAACAGTCGGGTTCCTAATACCAGTTTGCTTGATAAGTACGAACAGTTGTCTACTGTTAGCTACTGCCACTTCCCTTTCTAACTCCCTTGCTTTCACTACTAACCACTGTTCGCGATCATTGCGTAGATTTCTTATCATCCTGCGCTTAAGCTGACTCCGCTCTTCGTCATGTTCACAGCCAGACGGGATAAGTTTCCGAGCATCTAACCACCCACCACTGTTAATACATCAAATTGCTTAGCTTTTTGGAGGTTGGGAAGCTTCATGCAAAATTCATCGATCACCTCATCTGAGCTGAAATCAGTGGGAGCGTTGGCAGATAATACGAAGATGCAACGGCGAGTGTCACTGTCCTTCTGAGTCCTTACTGTCCAGTTTAGTCGGACAGCGCACAAGCAATCATCTCTTGGGATTCAGTCTGAGACAGCTAATTCTAGTAGTACCACGTGTGCCGGACTTTGGGGTATATTCTTTATGAATGGAGATTTCTAGTCACCTTAAAAAACAGGAGATAACGGACTTGTGAAACTTCAAATCTGATATAACAGTGCTTTTGTTTAAATTATCAGAATATAAACTAATTATTATCATCTTATCTGAATGCCAGCTGAGTACGTAATGGATCTCATGAGGTGGGCAACGTGACGTGTTTCTGTGTATGGAAATTGATAAAAGACATTAACATTGGTTTTTATCAAAACTCCTCATAAAAATTCACCTTTTATTTTATTTCTAATGGAATTTTTTATTACAAAGTCCTTTCGTTAATTTTTAAATAAATTTTTAGTGGATGGAAATGTGCCAAATGTGATTTAAGAGATAATCTGTGGATGAATCTTACCGATGGGACCATACTTTGTGGTCGAAAATTTTGGGATGGGTCTGGAGGAAATAATCATGCTTTGGAGCATTACCAACAGACTAAGTATCCATTAGCTGTCAAACTTGGAACTATAACTCCCAAGGTACCATAATAAATTTTGAATGCATCTACATAGCTTGTCATGCACGCACACGATGTGATTTTTAAGTAACAGTAGTTTTATGTGGTCCCTAATCAATTGATTTAACAGTGTTGATGCATATTCCGAAGCTTCGAATTTCAATAATATAATAGAGTGTGCTTTATTTGTTATGCTAGAGTAACACATTTAGATGTTATGTTAATGAAGTCTATTTATTAGTCAACACTACTGTGTTCAGTTCATGTTAACTCCTTAACTGGTTAGTGATTGTCAGGATAGTATAGAATGAATCATTTTTCATTTATAGATCCTCTGTATCTCTGCGGTTCCGTTTTTTTTTGCTGCTATCAATTGATCTACTGAATTAACATCACCAAAAATTGTAAAATCCTTTGAGAGTTTATTCTATCCATTAGATCAACAGACACCAATCGGTGAAACTTTGTTCTGCCCTGTTCTTTGAAATACCTTCTTTTATCATATCAGCCATAATGTAGTAAATAGCTTGTGATCACAAATTTCAAACGATGTTGTCCTAGATTAATAATTAGAAAACAAAGTTTCAAAAAAATTTTTATCATGCTATGGTTTCATGTTTATATTTTATATGTAGACAGATCTCTAAAGCAATGTGTTGATAAACATACAGGATATCTCGAACTCATTGAATCTTCGTTGGAGTTGTACATTAAGATAACTCATTACTTAGCTCTAACCGTGACTCAAAGCACAATATCTTGCCTTTGGTTCTATGTAACTGGAATAAAGGTTCATTTTTTGTAAAGTTTTTAGGAATTGTTGTTTATTTTCTAATGCAGGCAGGCATTTATCATGCAATCATTTATTTCATAATTAAATTATGTTGCATTGTTCTTATTCTACAAAGGGTGGAGAAGTATTTTCATATCCTGAAGATTCAATGGTAACCGATCCGAAATTAGCAGAACATCTTGCCCACTTTGGTATTGATGTAATGCTTATGCAAAAAACCGATAAGACAATGGCTGAATTAGAAGTGGATGCAAATGAAAGACTTGGAGAATGGCTTACATTGCAAGAATCCAATCGTACACTTGAAGCACGTTATGGTCCAGGTATGACTGGACTTAGAAATCTCGGTAATACTTGTTATATGAATGCTGTGTTGCAGGTCAGTCAATAATGTCATGGTAAATTATAATTTTTGCTCATTTATTCTTAAGCGTTTCTAATCCATCTCAATAACTAAGTCCAGAATTATTTTATTGGCCATTTGAACTTGAAGTCGAAATAAATGAATCAAGTTGGGATTTACGATCCATTAAATAAAAGTCGAGATTCCCATCTATTACGCTTACTATTCCATATTCTAACAAATAAAACGTTATTCATTTTGAAATTTCATTTTTAAACAAAAATATTTTTGATGTCATTCTTGTGTACTTAGTTTTGTTTGTGGTTTCGAACCGTAATTGAAGATGGGCTTCTGCTCTGGCATTAATTGATACATGAATAATGAAACATTATTTCGAAATACTTTACAGTGGTACAATTAGTTCTCTGTGATTGGATTTTATTGGTGATGCTCACTTAGTTCATTTACCTTCTCGTAATCAGATGCTTCTTGCAAAAACATCAATTACTTGTACATATTCGTTTGATATGTTATCCAAACATCTAGGTTTGTTTATTTGATACTTGTAGAACTCTAATTAAATGATCAAACTCTTTCAGTTATCATTAGCTCAATATAATTATCATAAAATAGACAGTTCCACTATTGACAGTGTTATACGATTCTTAACACTGACTTTACTTGGTTTTGTTATTTTATGTTTTATCCGTTGTGTAGTTAAGTTAAGTCAATAAATTTTTAAAGTTTCTTGCCATTTTCCAAAATGATACTTTTGCGCGTTGTGACGTTACGATTGCTAATCTAACCATTAATTCTGTCTTCATAATTCATTAGCTATTTCTACCCAGTTTGATAAAATTAGTAAACTTTTTGACAGACAATAAATACTAACTCATGAAAATCACCAGTAATTGCAAGGCAAATTGATGGAATGCTTCAAATTTCACACATCATATATACTTGTTTGACACAAAAACTCATATTGTTTTAGTCATTTCGATTGTAACTAACTTCACTGGAACGTGTCGTTTTTACATCTAATTAGGAATATCCTTCTTCTTAAAGTCACAAATAAGAAAATGTCAAAACTGCTAATCGTATTTTGCATATGATGAAGATTGAAAGGAAGTAATTATTAAAGTCATATAATCTGCTTAGTATGATAATTCTTTAATTAAGCATCTATACTATACTATATACTATATTATATACTGCTTATTTTCCCTTTTTGATTTCAACATCAGGTTCTATTTTCAATTTCACAATTCCGTTCATATTATGCCTATCAATTACCAATTTGGTGTGAGGAAGCATTGGAACAGTTCATTTCTAAAGATCATCCACTTCTACCAGTAGATCATATTGGTCTACAGTTTTCGAAATTAGGACACGGTCTTTGTTCAGGTGATCACTCATGGCTAGTTACAAACGATGCTAGTCATATGAATGCAACTCCAGGTAGCCCTGTGCCTGCTCTACCAGGTTAGCTTAATCGCTTTATTATTTTAATTGACATTGATATTATTATTATTATTATTATTACTTTTCAATCATTCATTGTTAGACTACTTTTAGAAACGTGGAAGCACTGAACGATCGTTTCGTCCTGGTATTGGACTCATCAGCAGCGCGCATCCATGTCAGCTACTCTCAGGGTTCAAATTCAGGACCTTCAGTTTTGCGCGCGAACTCCTATTATTATTATTATTTTATCGTTTTAACGATCATTCCCGATGTGTTTATTCGATACTAGTGATCCTTTAACACTGATGCTATCAGTGGTAATGAAAATGCTATGTGATTCGGTTACCAAATGATGCGTTTCACAATTTGAATTCACTCTGGAGACCAAATAACTGCTGTCTTGCCGAATATGATTAGACATAAATTGTGTTAAAAATAAGCATAGTAGGCTATAGTTCTTTTCAGTTGATATATTACATCATTATTGATACTTGAAACCCAAACCAATTACATTTAGTCACTCAATAGGCAGTATGCTCAGAAAATTTTTATATTTATATATCTGCGGATTCATTTCTTAACATTGACAGTTTGGTTACTACCGCTCCAAGCGTATACTCATGCAATGATGTCATGTATATCCAGCAGGTTAACTAATAATACTATTCTTAGCAAGTTTATTCTGTTGAAATCAAAGTTGATTGCTTGAACAAATTATACACTTAATTGCTCCTTCCGTTCCAACAATTTCATTAGTCGATGGTTGTTATTTTTTATTCACTTTCTTGGGTAATCAACTTTCATCTTATGATAATTCTTATTTAACTAATTATTTTTATTCATTTAAAACGAAACATTCACAGGTATACGTCCAATTTTGTTTCGTCGACTGATGGGCGCTCATAATTCCACATTCGCTACAAAGCAACAACAAGATGCTTGTGAATTTTTAATCTATCTGTTAGATTTATTAGAACAAAAAGCCAGCAAACATGAAAACGGTTCAATTCATCCAAGTAATGTAATGCGTTTTGGTGTGGAAGAACGTCTACAATGTGGTTTGACACATAAAGTAAGAAAGTTGTTGTTTACTCATTATTTTATGCATTTGCCTTGCTCGTGACAGACTTTGAGTAGTGACTCTGTGGTTAAGGCGTTCAACATTCAAACTAACAAGTTCCAGGTGTCATCGCTGATCAACCTACTTTTTTTTGAGTAGTCAGTGTCGTTAGCCTTCATATTTAGCGTGTAGCTTTAAGCCAAGCATGCGAATGTGTACGTGGTTATAGATTTATTTGTCTTACTTTGGATAAGATGGAACTGTTCGAAGCTGTGATCGTGTTGGGGACATTAGATCCCCAGAAATCACTGGGAAAAGGTCCTGATTTTGTATTTTTTGTGTTTCCGCGCATAAGTTGCTGAGTTGATCCTAAGATTACATTTCCCACTCGTAAAATCCTTGACTGTCATCGGTTGGTGGATTTTTTTTGTACACTATTTTTGCGGCTCTCTTAAGGACGTTTCTATCTGGTATAAATAAGCTCGATTTTGTGTGCTTGTTGACCTCATATTTTCTGGGTGCTTGCACAGTACACTTTCTACGCCTTTTCAAGACTTCTTGACATAGATAACCGGGCCTGGGACAAACGGATTAGAATAGCTTATCGTGTCACTGCATCATTTATCTTCGCTCCGTTTATCGAGTAAGGTGAACTCGTAACAGTTCAAGCATATCAACTGACGAGCATATAAGATCTTCAGTTATCAGACTGATCTAGTTCGATAAACGACATATTACCAGTGGTGTAATGTCAATTCCCTTTTTGAAAAATTTCTTCCACACATCCGCGCGAATCTACTTGTTAAGAAAGACTTGTATTTGATAACCGTACCTAGTAACTGCCAGTGAATTGGCCATGGCTATAACCTTATACATTAGAATGTTTCGTCGTTTTGCAATGTTGAATGACATGGTGCAAAATTGATCACGGTGGCTTAAATGCATTCGTTCTCTATCTTTCCATGAATTCTGAGCTCACTATCGTTTTACTAACCCAACCTCCTTTCATTTGTTTTCCTTAAAGTTAGTATCTCATATGAGACCAGCTGGATAATCATGCTAGGTCTGACATTGATAATGACTGACTCTTTCCAATATTATTCAGAACGATTTAAGTTTGATTATTTTGAGAGAATTTTAGTAGTGTGATTGTTAATAACACGAAAAATAGAATTAATACGACTTGTTTTTAAACGTGGAGGAGGGTCGGGATTGGGTTTAGCGACTCCATCCCGTAGAAAACTAACTCGCTAAAAAACGCTAACCAGAAAAAAATACTCCAAACCACTTTCACTCTGGCCTGGGAGTTAGTAGGTCTTCATTTAAAAGAGCTTTGAAGTCTCATGATGAAAGTCAAATTCCTTCGAGATTCACGAGGCTGATACCCCTTCTGACAACCAGAGAAACCATTAACTTAGGTATATGAAATGTTCGTACGTTGTGGAAGATCGGAAGACTGTTCCAAATTACTGCCGAGATGAAAAGCTACAACCGGTAGCTGCTTGGAATCAGTAAAAGACATTGGACGCAGGTTGGACTTAAAAGGCTAGTTTCAGTAGAGCTACTGTTGTACCCCAGCCTTGAAGAAGAAAATGCTCCACATACACAAGGAGTTGCACTGATTTTGTCCCAAGGAGCACAAAAGGCACTTATAGGATATGAATCTCATGGACCCAGGATCATCAAAGCATCCCTCAAAACAAAGAAAGAGGGCAGTGCACTGAACGCCATCCAATGGTATGCGCCTACCAACGATTACATTGAAGACAATAAAGATCAATTCTACGAGAGATCGTAGTCAATCGTTGAGAAATGTCCAACAAAGGACTAGATCATTCTGATGGGTTACCTAAATGCCAAGGTTGGAACGGACAACAATGGATATGAAGACATTATGGGATAAAATGGACTGGAAGGAGGGAACGAAAACGGTGATTGATTCACCAACATATATGCCTTCAACAAACTGCTCATTGGCAGGACCATATTCGAACAGAAACGCATACACAAAGCCACATGGATTTCACCGGATCACATTACACAGAACCGAATCGACCATATCTGTATCGATAAAAAGTTCAGGAGGACTATGGAGGGTTTGAGAACCAAGAGAGGAGCTGACATAGCGTCAAATCATCACTTGTTGGTCGCTAAAATGAAACTGAAACTCAAAAAACACTGGACAACGGGGCAGACAACACACAAGTTTAATACGGCCTTTCTTTGGGATACCGTAAAACTCAACGAATTAGAGATAACCCTCAGCAATAGGTTCCAGGCCTTGCAGGATCTACTTAATGGAGAGGAAACAACCATGGAGAACAATTGGAAAGGGATCAAAAAGGCAATCACTTCAACATATCAGGAGGTCCTGGGTCACAAGAAGCAGCATCACAAGGAATGGATCTCTGTTGGTACTCTTAATGAAATTAAAGAAAGAAGAATCAAAAGGGCTGCAGTCAACATCAACCGAACAAGAGCAGAGATAGTCAAGGCACAAGCTGAATTCACAGAAGCAAACAAGCAACTGAAGAGGAACATAAAAGCTGACAAACAAAAATATGTGGAGGATCTAGCGACAACGGCGGAAAAGGCTGCAAGAGAAGGAAACTTGAGACAGTTGTACGATACAACAAAGAAGCTCGCTGGAAATTATTGTAAACCAGAAGGACCAGTGAAAAGCAAGGAAGGCAAAGTAATCAGCAACACTGAAGAGCAGCGAAACAAGTGGGTAAAACACTTTGAGGAACTATTGATTCGACCAGCTTCACTGAACCCACCCAACATCGAAGCTGTATCCACGGACCTCCCGATCTTTGTTAGCCCACCAACAAATGAAGAGATAGAGCTGGTTTAAGAACAGTGGTCGGCGGCCTGTGCTATATTGGGGCTAACGGGCGTAAGTTAATAAGCTTTTAAGCATGATTCATAACCACTTTTACTCAAAAGCGCAGAAGTCAATAACATGTTTCAACAAGGCTATTTCCGAACTTCATATCAAAATCATAGTGCACTATTTATTGAGTCAATTAGACTATTGACCTATCTTTGCAACTTAATCAAATGTATTTGTTCAATACTCACTCACAAAACAAACACTTGATTATCCAGTTATCGATTAAATATGCTTCATGACTTATTGGATATAAAATTAATCATAAAATTTTTCATTTGCACGTAATAATATAGCTCACACAGATTTTGTACATAATATATTGTACTAGAGTGCCTTTGATCATCAGTAAATGTTTTTGTTCGATGCAGCCACACTTTATCAAATAAACATTTTACCGACTATTATAATTGAGATATACATTATGAATTGAAGTAACAGCTTGATTTATTTCAATAACATTTCATAGTATTGTCTAAATACTGAACAGGACGAAGAGCGGAGTCAGCTCAAGCGCAGGATGATAAGAAATCTACTCAATGATCGCGAACAGTGGTTAGTAGTGAAAGCAAGGGAGTTAGAAAGGGAAGTGACAGTAGCTAACAGTAGACAACTGTTCCTACTTATCAAGCAAACTGGTATTAGGAACCCGACTGTTAGAGTGACTATTTTGGAAAAAGATGGGCATATTATTCATTCTCAATGCAGGAGATTAGATCGATAAGTAGAGCACTACGGATCAGTTCAATTGGCTTTCAGCCGCACTTCTAATAACCCCAAACTTTATCTGCATATTAACTTGAACACAAGAGAAAAAGCCTGGAAGTACTGGCTGAACACTGCTCTAAGATTTATTCATGTGACAAAATGAGCGTGTTTCTAGAGTCTCGCATGATCATGGGCTTCTGAAATTTTCGGGAGCCATATTAAATATGATAGTGACCTTTTGTGGGTATTCCTGTGATTCGCCATGTTTGTTTAAATGAAACATTTTTCAAGTATTTTCGTAATCGTTAATAACTTGTTGCGAAATTGTGTAGGCCATATCTAATTTAAGGTGACATAAACCGCAAATCTTCGAAGGGTTGACTTCATAAGGGTTTAAAAGTGTGTGACCCACTATCTTCAGTGAAGCTCAGTGAGATATTTACTACGGTCTCATTGTTAGACATAATTCCCTAAGACTGATCGCGTTCGTTGACCGTCATTCCAGTCTATAAAATCCTTTTGTTATGATCACATGAGTATAAGTTTGGTCGGTAAAGTCCGTACCATATTAGCATTCGTAATCCTCAATCCGCTAAATAGAATCTCAAGAGCGATAAACTTGCAAAATTTAGGTTGGTTTTCTGACCTGTCTATGAATGTGTAAATAATGTCTTTACTGTTCACCAGCTTCTAGGACGGTAACTTGTCTGAAAAACAACTCATTGACTAAGAAATAATCAAGCGCGTTAACCGCTTCATGTATTCTTGAAAATTTTATCAACCCCAATGAGTTGGTGGGTGACAAAATCCCATAACTATTACCAAAAATTACCTTTATTTTGTCAACTTCCACCACAGCGTAAAGACGTTCATCTGTCTATCAGATGACTGTATTACGCAGTATGGGAATACACAACAGTAAAGTAGAATCTGTGAAGGTTTTGGAAATGAATGTACCGTAAGTATTGATTACACGCGTCTTCTAGGTATTTCAATCAAGTCAGTAATACTAAGGTTAAATTATTTCTCTTAATTAATTTCTATGATACAGTTGTATTTATCTAATTTTTTGGTTTCATCGTAACCCTCCACACCTATCACTATTCTTCTCCAATCAATTCTTCTAAACTGCACCTCCCGTTTTGAGAGACCAATACATCTGAACAAGCTATTCAATTCAAACAAAATAGCTTATCATCATTGGAGTACACTAAATTATACTTTCCATAGAAATATCTTTGGTTTTGTTTTTATTTACTTCCTTTTTCTACTCTTTCCAATACCACACCTCACAATAATAACAGGTCTCTTATAAAATTGATCATGAATGGATCCTTTCAGTTCCAGTTCCAATGGAAGCGGTAACAAATCAAAAAGCACTAGATGACTATGAAAAACGACGTGTTGATGCTGAATCAAATGGTATACATTTATCACCGGAAGAGGTTGTACGACCAATTATTCCTATAGAAGTAAGCAACAAAATGCGTAAACAATATGCTTGGTATTTATTCACACATAATTATTGTTAGATGACTAATTTCCCTGATAATTCTATCATACTATCTGCACAATGACTAATTTTGTTCGCAGCAATTAGTCCCTTTGATAAATTTGGATAGCATGATGAGAAGACGAATATTATCAGAACAATGTGATAAATATTAGCACACTACATTTTGCGATGTCACACATGTACATGTGCGACATAAAAACTTAACCTTGTTTTTTTCTATGATAGTGACATTTGTTGACGTTTTGTCGATAACAGATTTAAGCCTTTGTTTTAATATAGAATCGTTTGACTCACCTCCGAACGGCAGTTTAATCCCAAACACAGCTGCTACCTTGACGTCGTGATGGAGCTTGCCTATCGTGATGATCCAACCGAGTTATATTGGCTGGAACATGTGTTCCTGTAGGTTTTACCATACTAGACACGACGTTTGGAGAACGGTGTGACTTAAAGCAGCAACTTAAGGTCTGAGGCCGTAGTCGTACTTCTGACTGTAGAGGGGTGTGATAGCAGTAAGTTGTTTCCCTTGGTGGGTGAATTTAGTGCTCCAGTAGGAAGAGTAAGCGAAACGGGAAGACTTCTGAGTGGATCTTATGGTGTTGTGGCTCAAGATTCAGATGATGCAGGTTGTCTGCTGAAACTATGCTTGGAAAACCGCCTATTTCCAGCAAATAATATCTTTAAGCACAAGGAAAAATATTTTTTGACATGGTGACCTACAAAGCCGACCGAACGACGAATACAATTAGAGCTCATCGCTACTAGCTACCGATGGAGAGGCTTAATAGAAGGCTGCCGCTCGTTTTGGGGCACATGTTTAGATTCATATCATGCTCTAGTGCGAGCATGCATTCGTCTCAGTAGCATCTACCAAACTGTTAGATGCTCGAAAACTCATCCTGTCTGGATGTAATCTCATCTGTCTAGTCTTAATTACTGACTGTACCAGCTCAACCGATATAGTGCGTAAGATATTAGCTTCAATAATACTTGGACGCCTAACTACAACTCATGAGAAGCAAACTCGAGAAAACCAGACCTGATCGTGGGTGCTTAGGCTTAATGTTCACGCTTCGGTAGGTCCCTGCATATAGACACATTTAGACGCTTTATATTATTTGAATTTCTCGACCTTAAGGTGACGCTGAACTTGAGGTTTTGTGGCAGTGTCTGTCATTGAAGGAAGAACTAAACATGTACATTTACCCGCTACAGGCTCTCTACTCGAACACTGCTGGCTGAGTCAGAGCTTATGGTGATCTGTTATTGGAATTGATTACTTAGTGTCAATCTGGAAGACTTATTATCCTGTCTGCAATAATTAAAGAAAACTTCATTGAGATTGATCTTTTTGTGCGTGGTTTTAAGACCTTTTCTGTGTGTCACCCTCAAATTCTTTCCTTCCGTTGTGTGAGTAAAACACCTTTCTGCCAACGCACCTTATTTCAATGTGCAGTACGATTTTACTTTCAGGCCTTCAGTTCTTCACCTTTAATCTCGTCATTGTCTAACTAACCTATCAGGTATGGTAGAATATGTGTGAACTAATATCTAATCTGGCATATATAGACCTGACTTTCGCTTCAAGTTTATAGCTACAGTCAGTTTTTAAAGAAGATCCAAAGTTACTTATAACTAAACTACATTAGCTAGCATTCAGTTCGCAGTAATTAGAGTTCATTTTAGTGTACAAATGAAATTCAAAACTAACGTTCATAATTGAATTAGTTTTGCATCAAAATGATTAGGAAAGGTAAGAATTTGTCAGTCAAACAAAACAGTTGCTATGTTACATACATAATCACTAAATTGCATGTGTACACACACATAATAGCTTCTATGGATTTACTCTGTAGTGTTTTCATTGCTTTCTAGTTTTAACCAGTAAGATTATCATTGCTCACATAATTATCATAAATTATCATACAGTACATATCACATCATATAATTTCTAAGCTTTATTTATAATAAAGATTATTTTAGGATACACCTAATACAATCAAACGATTCTTTATCAACGTGCAAATAGTTCACTGACGGCTGTATGGTTAAACAATTGAATAAGTAGTACTAGTTGAAACATGCATGGCACATGTTCACCATTTGCCTTGACACGTTCAATTTTAACTCCAGTAAGAGAGATCTAGGAGCAACTACAGTGTTCAGCTGTGTTAGGATTTCAAGACTACCTAATCATGTTTATTAAGAATTCTGTCGTTGATAATAACCACTGGTTAATAAAATAACATTTACTTATTATTATTATTATTATTATTATTATTATTATTAATACTTTTAGGCTTGTTTGTCCGCTTGGGCTGAAACAGAACAAATTAATGACTTTAAAACACCAGCAAGTCAACCTCCAGGTGCTAAAACATTCGCTTTACGTTCTAATCGTTTAACAAATTTTCCAACCTATCTTTGTATACAAGTTGGACGATTTACTGTTGGTCCAGATTGGCTTCCAAAAAAACTGGATGTAGACATTGAATTGAAATCATTTATTGGAAGCCATGGTGATACTAAATGGTTTATTGATTTGAATAGTTTACGTGCTCCAAATGGTAGTAGACCATTACCTGGCGAACAATTAATGCCAACTGGAAATGAAATCAAGTGTAAGTTTAATACATTAAGTAAATTATGTTATTTATGTTAATAAACCAGATTTGTCTATCATATCCAGTAGGTTGCAGGTTTGAACTCTCAGTTCTACCTTTGTCTGTAATTTAAGTAACCAGTTGTTACCTGTTTACCTGTTCACTCTATGGATACGTTGATTTTAATTATCCTTTTATCAAATATTAGATAATTATGATGAATAGTTTTGCCTTGGTAATTTTTTCTTTGCTAAGCTTATTTGTACGTGTATATCATATCATATCGAAAGTATGATAATACGATCAGTTATATAAATTTTTCGCTATATTATCTAAATATTATCAGTTCTTATGAATAGTTCAATATAAAAATATTTATGAATATATTTTCCATGATATTCAAAAAGTTTTCTTCGGATTATCAATCAAAGCTCTTACTCTAATAAAAAGATGATACGTACACAGGTGAATTGTAACATTAGACAAGTTTTTTTTAAATTATCTCACTTCTCCAATCTTAAATAATCGGAAGAATAAACTGTGTCAGAAACTGGTGTGTGTGTGTGTCGTTTAATTTTCCGGTTACATTAGCCCCATGAAAATGAATTCTTTTTTGTACGGACTTCAAAACTAATTGAGTATCGAAGGCCTTGTCATTGTGGCAATGTAATATCAAAGGAAATCATAAGAAAGTGGATTATGACAGGTTATTAACAACTATTTGTTTCTGTTGATATTATTTAGCCCCATGTACATTCCAAATCCCAACATTTGAAATTCATGAAAGGGACAATAAACTATGTTATAGGATTTTTTTAGTTGATCTTATCTATTCATTGTTCTTATTTTCGAAAAGGTAGCATCACTTGAGGTATTAGTTATCTTTGAGAAATTCTAATTTAACATCACACTCTGTAATACAATCAACTGTACTAAAATTTCACTGAATTTTTAATATGCTGTTTTTTATCTGATTACTTTCAAATCAATTTTTCTGGAATAGTAGAACTTGAAGCAAACAAGTTTTGCTATCAATACACATAGATTACTTGTGTAGTGAAGGAGAACACAGGTGAGGGCAACCGAATTGTATTCATCGCAAAATACAGAGTTAATTGGTAAAATAGGAAAACCATCCCGTAAACCGTTAATTTGCAAAACTTCAATCCATCATCAATCCATTGTGTGACATTTCACTATCCATGCGTTTCATACAAATTCCATTGTGTTCCCACTCTTCCTTTCTTGATCTTCCCCCATCTTCTGCTGCCAGACATTACGTTTACACTCGCGTCATATACTACTTATAAGTAGCGCGCATCACACTTTTATTTTTGCTTTAATGAAATTCATTCTTCTTCTTCCGCTCCTCCTATAGCTGAACAAATGGCAACTAATGATGAGATGCAGTTAGATGTAACAATTATCAATGAACTGTTAGTTATGGGTTTCACTTTGGAAGCAGCTCAGAAAGCGTGTAAATTTACACAAAACACTGGTGTTGAAAATGCCACTAATTGGTTAATGGAACATTTAGATGATCCCGATTTAAATGATCCATTGACATCGACCACCGGTTGTCAACAACAACAACAACAACCAGCAGTTGGATCTGTTACTTCTACGGGTATTGATGAAAATGCAATTGAAATGATGTCAGCTATGGGATTCAGTAGACAACAGGTAAGCGATATTGTTATTTCAATGGAATTTATGCCGAAATTGACAAAATTCAATCATTTCTCAATAATATCTTGAATCTAAGTCTTTCCCCCTCACATTGTTATCATTTGAAACATTTAATTACTGTGTCATGATTGCAGTCATAGAGTTATTGATAAATATAAAGTATCAGTATGTCCAACCTTTTGTTGTTAACTGTTTGCAAAAAATATTTGATTATCAACTTTTTAGATTTCAGTCTCAAACCCCTCTTCATCCGTTTCGATCTACACAATTAGTGTAATATTGCTAACCGCTAGATTAAAGGTATCAATCAAATCCAAGTAAATGAATGTGTATGCGTGTGTGTGTTTAGTTTATGATCATAATTTCTCGTATCATGTAAACACGGTTTTGTTATGTGACGTCTTCGCTAATCAATGTGTAATATCCTTTCTATTACATCATATTATGTAATCAGCTAATTCGTGCGCTCTGATTACACACTGGCTGGATATCGGAGTTTTATGTCTGAATATATCTGCCTCTAACTTTTTTTCACAATCAACTGAATCTCACTTAAGCATAGTTCATAGCCTCATCGATCGAATTACTGTATCTACTGAAAATCTTACATTCTACTCTACCGTTACTTTTCCCAAGTAGTCTAGATTACTCTTCTGTGTGTCAGCTGGTGCAAATTGAAGGACTCCAATCATTAATTATTCACTTCTGTCAACTGAAATAAAAATTTTATGTGATAAGTTAGTATTTAAGATTAAATTTATTCGTGATTCGGTATTGTACAAGATAGATATCGTTTATCTCATGAAAATTCACCAACACTGAATGGAATCTCATGACTACTTTTTCAAGATGGAACGTATCAACTAATCGATCTCCAAATTTTTGGTGAAAGCTTAATCACTGTGATTTGCGTTTCTTAATAAAAGTGTAAATAAATTTTGAAACGTTGTACTAAACAAACATCGATGTGTTTTCTTGTTTTGTTAAACACGCATTTTTTTTGCTTTAATTTTTTATCTGAAACGTATCTATCTACATGTAAAGATAGACACTTTATTTTCACATGAGCATGAAAAGCACATAAGCATTTCTCAAAAAAAGCACAAATTGTCTTTCTATGTAAAGATTGGTAAATTAAGCAAATAGGCGAATGAGAATGCTGGACTCAGTCCAATACTTTGATTTAACCATTCAGACTAATGAAGTGCAAATTACATAATCTACCTGTGGGATAGCAGTTTATCATTTTACTAAAAATAATAAAAATGACATGAGCTAATCTAAAGGTCAACAATTCAAGGCAGTGGTAGTAATAGTTTAAAATTAACGGGAAATAATTAACAAATAAGCAATTAACAATACCTTCTTGACACAATTTATTCAAAACCACTACAGAGAAACAACAGGTTGACTGTAACAAATTTTTTGATGAGAAAGTGAAATCTGATGATGGTGTCACATTGTGTTACAATGACAAGAAGAAGTAACGTAAACTGACTTACTATGTGTTTTATCCTCACAACATCTGATCAGTCATAATTATCAATGTAAAAAGAATTTGGCGTAATTGCAACTTTGACCAAGTCACCATATCACCATATCAACGTTAAGAGATAAAAATAATGAGATGCTTAACAAAATGCATGAGTGTGAATACATCACCATTATGACTGTTTATGAGTCATATTTATTCAAAATCTCCAACCAACAGTCGTGATTATCACATACTGATTCTAATCAGTTAGTCTATTCACATTCTTCAGATCCAGCAGTCAAGGATTTCATAAACCACTCTAATAATACCATTGTTTGAAAAACTAGAATCTGTTAAAACATCACATGTATTTGTTTTAGTCGTAGGTTGCCTCCGCACACACACACACACACACATTTACACTTTTTGAGTTACAATCCACGCTACCACAATAAACTAACTTCTTATACATAAATATATACAAATTTTGTCACCAATGTAAATCATTTCAGCATTAAAATGATGTCATACAATTTAAACTACAATAATACAATTTGAAGAATATGCAAAGAAGTGTGTGCATATCTTTTAATGTTAATCGATTGTTTGACATTGTCCTTCTGACCATAAAATAAATCAATATGTTAAAATATCTTGTTTTACTTCTAAAGTACTCAGTGACTATTAAAATCAGCTGATCGTAAATATATCCAACTGCAATGAAGCAACAAATCATTGTTAGTAATCAATGCTATGCCATCCATCTGAACACGAATACAGTTCAATTTGAACTATTCAATATGAAATCAAGAAGAATATGGACAAGTGCATGTTTAATATCGAGAAAATTATTCCATTTTATCAGGAATGAATAAGTGCTTCTTATGCATGCGATTCGGTTGGAACCTATTCTGTGATTCAGTAGCCAGCCAATTGTATGTTTGTGTATATAAATAAATATCAGTATCGGACATTGAGCTGCACAAAAAAAAATATTTACAGCTTACATGAATACTTTCGGTTGTAGTGTTTTCTCAGCTAGATAGATGACAGAATTATTAAATTTTCAATGTTCTAGATAACAAACATATTATGAGTAACTAATTCATCTGAAAAAATGAGCTTTTTAATTTGTCCTAATATTGCTTAATTGATTTGTTTTAATGTGCTTGTTTGTGATTAGTTGTAAATTTTATTCATAAACAAAGTTTTTCATTGAGTTGTGTGAGTGAGTGTAGTAGCGATCAGTTAAAAATGAAACTAATGTTTTTGAGGTGCATGTATATATGTATATATATATATATATATATATATATATATATATTCCGCTTCAACGTATCATATTGTTTATATTATTTCGTTAGTTTCTTTTATTGAGAATCTGATTTTTAATTTTTAGGCAATCATAGCATTACAACATACCAATGGTAATTTAGAACAAGCTGCTGATTGGGCATTGAGTAATCCAAATGAATTAGAAACTTTATTACTTCAATCACAAATAGCAGCTACTCCATCTGATGAAGGAAATAATTTAAGTCAGAAGACATCATCAACATGTCAATCAACTTCACCATTATTATCAGATGGTAGTTCAAAATATGAATTATTCGCTTTTATTAGCCACATGGGAAAGTCGACTAATGTAATAATTATTGATTATTGATTGATTACTTTCTGTTGTTTATATTTATCCTAATGATTTATTGTTTGGTTTGGTTTTTTTTAAAAAAAAAAGAAAAGTTCTTAATTTCTTTTCTAACTTGCCTGTTGAAGTGAAGACAGGAATTTTTGATAATAATAAATCAATGAATCCGCTTCAATTGAGATTTTCGAAAGATGTGTGTAATCGGTACACTTAGCTACCGCCCATCTAGTCAACAGGCGATGCTTTTTTTGCTTTTAGTAAAGGAGTAGAGAGGAAGTAAAATTAAAATGTAACATTCATGCATTAAGGTAATAAGATCGACTGTGTTTATTGACTCATATTGTTGATAGATTCAGCTGACCAGACTAAAATGTTTTCGTAATTATCATAGTCAGTTGTTGACAGTTTTTGAAACCATGTATCGATCAATGTTAGACCACCATTAGAAATCTGGAAGCACTGGACGGCCGTTTCGTCCTGGTATAGGACTCACGTGCTTCCAGGTTTCTAATGGTGGTCTAACATTGATCGATTCATGGTTTCGAAAATGTGTAACTTAACAATCTTCACAACCCCGTAATGCAAATCATCTGTGCTCACTAGTGACTAGCTTCGTGAGGAATCTTCTCCGAGTTCTAGTGGGAAGACGTGACCAGTGAAGTTCAACCTGTTCGGGTGTAGGCAGTGTCTACCGAAGACTGTGTATGAGGTTGCGCGACTCCGTGAATTCGATCAAGTTAGTCATTAACACCGTTGGATACCGGCTCAGTGGTCTAACGGTTAGGGCGTTCGCGCACAATACCGGAGGTCCTGGGTTCGAATCCTGCGGGGTTCAGGAGTCGTGGATGCGTACCGCTAAGGAGTCCCATACCAGGACGAAACGGCCGCCCAGTGTTTCCAGGTTACTAATGGTGATCTAACATTGATTGATTCATGGTTTCAAAAAAAATGTGTAACTTAACAATCTTCACAACCCCGTAATGCAAATTGTTGACAATGTTAGGTGAAATAACTCAGCATTAGTTTCATGAAGTTAGACGATGTCCCTTTCTTTTGTTTTCCTACATATTTTGAATTTTTAAAAAATAATCTCTCGAATCCCACCAATAAGTGAGTGCTTCATGCGTCCTACTTATAGTGAGATTTTTTTTCTTGATAATTTCATCTCACTGTATTAGTTTTGTATGTCCAATTCTACGTTGTGTTTAATATATCTGGCTAGTTGAAGTTACTTCACACCGATTATGTTTACATGTAATTGTATGGAATTGCACGTATAAAATCATTGTCATGAATACAAAAAACTTGTTCATCTTGTGTCAATGTACAAGAGAAACGGTGTATTCGAATATCGTTACTGTATATATATATATATATATATATATATATATATATATATATATATATATATATATATATATATGATTAATGTTTTGTAAAAGATTTCATTCATTATTAACTTCAATTAACTAGTGTTTAATTTTGTTTATACTTTTATGATAAAATATTTTGAATTGATTTTTACTTCTCCATATAACAAATGCACACATTTTTGTCATTCAATATCTTTCTTTGTTTTTTACACAGGATGGTCATTATGTAGCTCATATTAAACGATCATTTCTAGCTAAATGTATACCACATGAACCACCGGTGTATCATGTTGGTTCACCAATTTGTGGTGGTTCCGATCAAGAATGGATTATATTTAATGATGAAAAAGTGGCCAAAAGTGAATGTCCTCCATATCGTCATGCTTATTTGTACTTTTTTCGACAATTAGATTCTGCTGATCAGTCGTCTAATTAATTCCAATTATGTATGTATGAAGGTATGTGTGTGTGTGTTTGTGTGTGTGTGAAGGCTGAAAGGCATACACAAATTAACTAACTGACTGTAAAAAATTCGATGTTGTTGCTGTTCAATTTTATCGTTCATTGTCCGCATCGACTTTTACATTCTAATTTTTTAATTGCACTGCAGAAATGCAACAAGTCGTACACATTGTGTATTTAGGAAAAATATGTTTGTGCTTTTTTGCGAAACTGATGAATCGTTATAATCTATTGCTTTATTACTCAACAATACATATTCCTCTCTGTCAGCAGAATACAATAAATAATAATTCAAAAAGTATAATCAAATATTCGTTTTTTTCTTTCATTTACACTTGTGCTTCCATTCATTCACCAGTCTTTTTAATGAATTATTACTTCAGTAAACAAATATTATCTTGAGTTGATATTGTAGATAGAAGAAGACTACAATTTAGTCCGATTATTTTATATACAATCAATAATAATCTTTTTAATCAAAATAAACTTCGAAAGAAAATTTACCATATAAATGCGCACACACATATAATACACACTACCTCTATTTGGTCTACTCTGTTTATTATCTTATATCGCTTCACACATGAACAAATTGACATTGATTTTTGTTGATAAAAAGCAATTTACATCATATATATATATATATATATATATATATATATATATATATATATATATATAACTGTGTTGAATTACTTTCCTCTTTTCTAAATGTGAAAGTATTGTACCTGTTTTGATCATGCTGATATTATGTATTGTTAGTCGTTGTTGATTATTATCATCACTATTGATGACTATAATTTACTGTTATCTAACATTATTTATCTTATGTAATGTTGAAAAAAACAAATGAAATGAGGAATAAATTCAACACTTTAAAAGTAAATAATCGTTTTACTTTTTGTTTCATTGACTTGTTTACCTAATGCTTGATTGTTGTTGGTATGTTGGCTACTGTGTCGTATGACAATGCGCATTTGAATCTCAAGGCATAACTAGTTCGATGTAATAAAACCATTAGATTATAATTTTATAGATAGATATATGATAAAAATATTGAATCACCATAATGAAGATTAAAAATAATAATAGCAATCGATATAGTTGATTAATACCTAATCAATACTCAATATCATGCTTGTCTTTTACTAAATATTTAATAAATCCTGTTAACTAAATCGAAATGTGACTATTAGTCTAGATGGCTTTGTGGTGCGCGCTACTTATAAGTAGTATATGACGGAGTGTAAACGTAATGGCTAGCAGCAGAAGATGGGGAAGATCAAGAAAGGAAGAGTGGGAACACAATGGAATTTGTATGAAACGCATGAATAGTGAAATGTCAGACAATGGATTGATGATGGATTGAAGATTTGCAAATTAACGGTTGCGATATGGTTTTCCTATTTCACTGAGTAACTCTGTAATTTGAGATAAATACAATTCGGTTGCCCTCACCTGTGTTCTCCTTCACTACAGCTTGATAATATATTCATAGAAAACTCTGCTTTACGTACCTAGTCTTCATGATAGTCGATAGTCTTCCTCAAGGCAGACCGGAAATCGTGATTTTCTATCTGTAAAAGTCAACTTATATTACTTAGCATCACAATGTGACACGTTATGGCTAAACTATTTGTTTGGTTACTGACCTCTTTTAAAATTGAAATATTAACGTTTAATTATAGCTTTTCATTTTGTGTTGTCCATTATAGTTCGAATCAAACTTTATTGATCAGATCAAAGTACTATGTAGTGATTTAACAAAACATACACACTTTATTTTGATATTAACTGGTGGTTGGAGGCAGTTAAGAAACTATGAATCTAAGTTTAATGCTCATTAGCACTTGTCAGTAGGGCATACTTTCAAGGTTGAGTAAATTTTTCCTCTAGTGAAACTCAGTTACTATTGATTAAGTTTGTGTTCGGAAGTTTTCGTCACCCCAATTGTTTTATATTGGATAAGATTCCTGTTATTTAATAAGTAATTCGTATATCTCAAAATTGATTTGATTCCTAATCCTAAGGTTGTAACTATAGAATCAATGTTTTTAGTTAAGCTGCTGGAGTTTGTAGTTTTCCAATTGTTATGCATTAATTGTGATCCACCTAGACCTCTTTGATTCGATTCCTCATGAGATCGTTCACGCTGTTAACAAAGAACTCCTGCTAGAATGAAACAATAACCATACTCTCCCTGGTTTACATTGCTAGTTTAACTAATATCAGTCCACAATGTAAAAAATTACATCGTGGAATAGTTGGTCACGTGTTTCTTCTTGATTCAGTAGGGACAATCATTTCAAATCGTATTGTTATTATAATTTTTATGATTGAATGTGCAACAGTAATTCGTTAAGTTTAGCTAAAAGTCATTGTCTTCTCTCTTAGTTTTCAAATCGTGTTCTGAATCAATGGCTGACATAACCTAAATCCGATCACTTCCCATATTTACTGGTTATTCTTTAAGTTTCACATTTTCTATTACTTTTCAATGTTTTCAACCCACATCGATCCGTGTGTCCAACCTAATATACACCGTTAGGTAATCAAAGTTGACGCAGTTCGTTTTTATCTAGTTTTACGTTCCACTCTTGTTGCACTAGAAATGAGTTGTAAACTAGTATGCTGCATGTAAGAAATAAATGTGGGCATTTTCATTAGATTGCATAATAGTTCATTATGTAATGGGTCCTATGTACCAGTTACAAATTCATACAGTTGATTTCGAATCATACTTTAAGTGTTAAGTTAAGGTTAGTGATGCGATCTGGTTGTCTAAACTGAAGTAATTGAATAAAAAAAATCATTTAAACTTACAATTTAATGGTTGAAAATCGAATACCTCAATTACTTAACCGAATTACTCACGTTCGATTTATTATTAAATGCATAAACTATGACTGCTCGTCAGTAGACTACATCTCTAATGAAAACATTTAAAATGACGTAAGTGTTGCAATATATTCTTCCGTTCTACCTAATTTGTCGATAATTAATAATACAGCCTCACTTTCATGCTCTTATGATAAACAATAATTTGGTTGGTTCTGTAATTTAGTTAGGTTTTCTTTAAACCATGAGAATAGATATCAAGTTATATCTGTCAAATTAGTAATGTAGAATATACATCAATTTGTATGTGTGTAGAGTAATTATGTTGATTGTAATGTAATTAAGTTTTGAGTTCAGCGGTATTTTTAATAATTGTTGAGAGTATAAATATGCATCATCCTCTTAAGATGCTGAGTAATAGAATTGAATCACCACTTATTTTGACAGTATTATTATGGTAACGATAATAACGATCATTTTCGTGTATTAATATTTCTTTAAAATATAGTTGAGTATATCGGCTATTATCCATTAGAATACCCGCCTTGTTAGTGTTGGCTTACATAAATTAATTTCTAAAATATGTTAAGGTTTACATCTTTCTGCATTGGGAATGAATTTTCGGTTCCATTGAATAATTAACACACTTCAGTTTAATGTACCGATTAGTGACACTGTTCAAATTTGTTAGAACCAACAACTAATTCCTAGACTCACTAAAATAATTGGTTAATTGCTAGCAATTAGTATTATGCTTTAGTTTATGTTGTTTGATTTTCCAAATAGTATTTTATCATTGTCCTACTTTTTTTTTTAACAATGTACGTTTGATACATTAGATTTTCTTGAATATATTCTGCCTGTGTATCATAAAGTGCTGTCCCGAATAACATTATTTACCCATTGACCTCAATTATTTTACTTATCATGAATCGATCATTGTTAAACCTGGAACCACGAAACGACTGTTTCGTCCTAGTGTGGAACTCATCATCAGTGCGCATCCAAGACAGTTGCGCGCAAACGCCTGACCTCTAAACCACCTACGATGTTAATGCTCAACTTCGATCAATTCACGGTATTGCGCAACCTCATCCATTATCTTCCATGGACAATGCTTGGCATTCAACTTCGTTGAACTTCACTGGTCATAACTTCTCAATAAAACTAATGGAAATTTCCTCATGAAACTAGTCACTAGTGAGCACACGACGAGTCCCATACTAAGATGAGACGGCCGTGCAGTGCTTCCATGTCTCTGTTGCTGGTCTAACGTTGATCAACTCATGATTTCGATGGAACTCAACAATCTCCACAACTCTTTAATGAATATTTTACAAATCACTGTTGAATATTAACAGCTGAGTATTTTCAACTTATTCCCTTAATTATCTCATTGATCTATACCCTATATGGGTTTAGAACGCATTCATTGGTCAAACCATTTAAGATTTTAATCAGTGGACCGCATTTATGATTCCTGCCTCATATGTTCATAATAAACCATCTTAAAAAGGAATACAAGAATTTACACTTATTGTTAATTTATTATAATAGTTCATTGTAACTGAGCCATATCGGTGATAACAATCCACCTCCAGTGATCTTATTTTCTATTTGTATAACAATAATTTCATGGTCCAAGAATTTTACTTCTACTTGTTACGTTGCAGGTTTGAACTCACTTCTACCTTTGCTTAGTCGTCATATATATCTATAATGTAGCTAATAGCCCTAGAGGGTACAAATTTTTATTAAATAAATCAGTTACAAAAAGCGGTCTATTGAATTGTGTAGTCAAGCTAATAACAACTAAACAAAATTCTACAATTTCAAAATTATTGTCTCCATTTTTAATTCTAAATTATTTTCTGACTAAATGTAATCATATTTTCATCTCAATATCAATACTTCTACAGCACTCATATGTTGATCTTTCATGTTTTCGTTGCATCAAATATGTCTACTTATAAGTAGTAGTAGTAGTAGTTTAATGATTCTCTGTGACTAGTTTAATAAGTACAACTTATATAATGTGTTCTTTGAGTGGTTAGTTTTGTCTAAAGTTTGTATCATTTCGATGGTCATTACAATCAGAAAATCAGTGCATACTTTGTAGTATTTGGAATTACTTACTTACTTACGCCTGTTACCCCCAAGTATTTGGAATACCTATTATCAAACCTATTTGGTTTTCATTTGCGTTTGGTGTTGTAAATAAATTGTCCTAAATAACTAAAATTTCAGCACAATTCAAACTACGTTTTTTGACAAAGTTCAGTCAACCCTATAGGAACAAACAAATTTGACAGATAGATCAACCAATTGTAAATATCTCAGCCCTACATGAGGTAATTTGTGGTTCAGATGACTCAATAGTAATAGCTGTAACTGTGAAGCTGGTTTCAAATCCAACAAAGAGCATCTGTTTCCTCTAGCCTGCAAGCACAACTTTCTGACGAGTGTCAACCTACCCTGTCCTACTAGCCTAATCAAGCTATACTAACCCCTAATGTCAAGTGACTTAACATATCACTGAATTATACCCTGATCTTTTCCATTACTACTAATACTTCTACTATCGCTACCACTATGGGATTTGAACTGAAAGTTGTGTCTCTGTGCTAATGTGGTATGGGAACCTGAACTGATGTACATACGTATGAAGTTCTGTGTTGTATATATCTGTCTGACTTAGTATCCGTATAACACTTGACTACGGTCTAAAAAATCAATAAATATATGTTAGTGTATAATAAACCATTGATGTTGAAGCCGATTTCTTTGTAAAATCTTCTTGACTATATATTGAATGAAGGGAGATACTTTTGTCTATGATTATCTTCTGACTTACTGTCATTTGACCACATGTTTACTAGAAATGTAATTTATTTCTTTCTTATAGAATGGCTGAGAAGGCCGATGATTTATACCTCCCAAATGCAGTACTTCTACGAATTATCCGTGAATCAGTAAGTATTTGGTCACATAAATCTGTGTATTCTTCCAAGTGTTGCGTTAAATTTTGCTTTGCTTATTGTAAAAATGCTGTGAAAAATTTTATATTCTCGATTCGATGCCTATAGATTAATTTTTCGGACATTTTTCTCAGTTGCAGACTGTAGCAATAACATTTCTAGACCATTCGTAATCAGAGACTTAACTAGTGAGTTATTGTTTTTAATTCAAGAATTTGATCAGGTCATATGATTAGGCTTAATATTAGGTTAGTACTAGCGTAACTGTTTGTAAAACTAACTAGCCATCATGTTTCAGAATCTTTCAAAGAGAGAGTACTAATCACAATGATCGATAATCTATCGATTATTCCCGGCTGTGAAATTCATTAATCGTCTTAGCAGTTAGAAATGCATAACAATAAAACGATGTTTTAGGAGTATTAATAAATACTCTCACTTATCGAATTTCCCATTGATTCGATCCTATAAACCATCTCTGACTTACCTCCTTTAGTACTGATCCTTGCATTTAAATCTGTCCTTAGATTAATGAAGGAATAAAATATATTGTTTTGTGGAGAAGTGTTAGACCCTAAGTAATGCTGAGAATATATATATATATATATATATATCCATCTTTATTTAAAGCTCAACAACAGTGCACACATGAATGCCAACAGTCAACTGACAGATCTTTAGATTCCTATCTCTACTAAGATAATTCCCTGAGGTCATTCATTTCAAGTCCCAATAGGGTAGTATCACCAGCTTCAGTTCAGTGCAATCACTATCTAATGATGTTGAGCAGGCACTGGCTCTCTCCAAACAGTCCTTAAAACTAGGAAAACGATCACTGTAAAGTTATTCATGGTTTTTATCACTATCAGTTCATACATAATAAGAAATTTATTCGAAGAAATAAATTGAGTTATCTATGTAGATTGTTTTACTGTTCCAACTGTTAAGGAAATATCTTTCATTTGGTTATTTATATATATTTTCATTGTTCATGTTTCGGAAATTATCTTCACAGTTGAACATTGAATATCACAGTACTACATTCTCCTCTCAGGTAGTATTTTATCAGACAGTAAAAAAATTACATTGTGCTACTTCCCACTCACTGAAAGTTTTCATTTTGTTTTTTATTATTATTATTGTTGTTATTATTATTATCAAAGATGACAATTTTTCGGAAAAATCTCAACACTTTTATTTCATTCATAAACATTTACACTTTCTCATCGTTGGCGTGAACTACTGTAATTAATTGGTTAGTATTTGTCGGCATTTACACACACTCCAAGTGTATTATTACCTAAATATTGTCATTTAGTCAAAAAAACCAAATAACGAGTTTATATTTTTCCTGTTGTTTATATTCAAGAACAATATGGTGCACGTATTGTTAAGAAGTCTCAAATTATCACTTTTTAAAGTTCATAGATGCTCGGACAACACCTGGAAACGTCTTACCTATTCAGCATTAAATGGAAATCTCCTTGGAATACCGAGAGATTATGTCATATTTTAGATATATAGTTGATTATATTTCAAAGTTTTATAAGAACAAAGTCACGTGAAATTCGATAAATACACGTGATATTCTGTACATACTTAGTTCCGAATTAAAGCCTTCATTCATAATTCTTTTCTTGATTTTGTTGTTCGACCTGAAGTATAGAAATAGTCAGGGGTTATAGGAAATAGCTGTGAAGTTAGTAAGAAGCGTCCCAATAGCAGACTGATCACATGTACATCCTCAGTGCATAGCACGTTACTGTTTGAATTGAATAACATTATTAAGCTCAAATTCCTGTGTCAACATCAACATTGATAAAGGTATATCCGACTGACAAGTTCCAAATACGACGAACCATAGATATTTATTCATTACAAATCCAATTATCCCTTTTTTATGAGTTTGCCTTTCTTTTTTCCCCTCCACAGCTACCTGAACGTACTCTTGTCAGTCGGGAAGCGCGCTCAGCAATTAGTAAATCAGCTAGCTCCTTTATACTTTATGTAACATCACTAGCCAGTGTACACTGTGAAAAATCTAAACGTAAAACGTTGACAGGAAGTGATATATTAGCTGCTTTAAAAGAAATGCAGTTTGACCATTTTATACCAGCTTTAAATACATTTTTAGATAGTAAGTAAATGTTCTTTCTATATGGTGATTTGTAGCTATTGTAAAATTTTCATTGTTTAAATCACAAACTGATTTTACTTTAAGCATCATTAAGAACTTGAAAACACTGAACGACCAGATGGGACTCTCCAGCAGTACGCATCCACAAACCCACACGTGGCGATCGGACACAGGATATTTCGTCTTGCATACGAATACTTAATTTATAGGCCACTGAGTCGGTATTCAATGGCGCTGATGTTTAACTTGACAACCCCCATCCACTGCATCAGCTTGCGAGACCGAACGTCTTAGAATCGACTTCTGGATTCAGGGTCGTGGGTGCACTATGTTGACGAGTCCCATAGTGTGATGAGACGAATGTCCAGTTCTCGCAAACTTACACTAGTTCTCGAACTATGACCAATACTTCATAGTCTGTTTTATTCTATTGTTAGTTTTAAAATGTTACAAAAGTTTCTCGTATTTCTAACGAGAAACTAAAAGTTACCAAGTTGATCATCATCAACAGCAACGTCGAACTTTGCACGTAAGTACAGCAGTTCAAGTTGCCATACCATGTTAGCAGAGATATAATTGTCAATTCAAATCCCATATTAGTAGAGGTAGTAAAAGTATTAGAAGTAATCGGATAGATTAGGGTTCTAAAATGTTATTCAAGAGGTAAATTTAGAAAGAGAAAAATAAAGGTTATGATTAATTCAGAAGGTTAGAATTTCATAGAACACAAAAAGTAAATGCACCTTCGCCATTGCAAACGGTTTGGAGCCATATCGTTTAAGGTCTGTAACCATCGGTTATTATCATATCGCGGACCCTAACCAGGTAGTCGACACCTACAAACATGACTCAATCCAGTTGTCAGTGACTTCACGGATTTGTGTCATGTTTCGGTCTGGCCGCCCCTAGCTTTCGTCCAACCTATTCCTAAATCGCAAAACATAGCTCGTCGAGGCAGTCGGTGGTTAGGCATACGTAAGTTTCACTACTTCATCAATTGATCTGCCATCCTCACCTAGCACCCGTTTCCTAACAACAGCATTGCTTACTCGGTTATCCCACGATACCAGCCGATCATATAAAGATCTGTACAGTTATCTGCATAATAATATCGTTTGAAGACAGTGTGAAGTGACCAACAGTAACATCAAGAAAGGTATAATCGTTACCATTATTCACAAACACGCAAGAAGTTAAAATGGGGAAGGTACTTTTAATAATAAGAATATTAAATTTATATTCTAAAAAAGGTTATTTTATTCTGGACACTAGTGATTCTAGTACTGTTGTAATGGCTGTAAAGAAGGAAATTATTCTTGATAAAGAGTTTTATGAGACTTATCACAAGAATGCTCGAATCTTGTGAACAATGCTGAAATCGCCTTTTTCGTAACTCCATTTTCAATATGACCTTTTTTTTTATTTTTCTGGTTTTCATCCACTGCCTTTAATTCACTGAATGTTTTTTGTGCTCGAAATTCATATTTTTGGACATTTAATACATACGGAATGATACTAATTCATTCTATACTCTTTGTTGTACCTCAGATATTTAGTTCTTCTACAATTTGTCTTCTCCTTCTGTGTGTTGTATGCTAGTCCCCGTTATCGATTGTAATGCAAAATAACAATGTGTTCACTAGTGACTAGCTGCTTCGTAAGGAAATTCTCGAAGTCCTAGTGACAAGACGTGACTAGTGAAGGTCAACCGTATCGGGTGTGGGCAGTAACTACTGAAGACAATTGATTGAGGTTGCGCAAAATCCTTAATTTGACTCCTTCAAGTACCAGTAGTAGAAACGGATACACACTGCTGATGAGTTCCATGCAACGACGAAACGGCCGTCCAGAGCTTCCAAGTTTCTAATGGTGGTTTGTCAATGACCCATTTATAATTTAAATTTAAATGAGAATTGCAAGTTACTGAAAAAAATCGTTCGCTTAAATATTCTGTTTTTAAATATCTGTATTCTGATGTTTATGTATTGGGGATCGATTATTTATGAAAAATGATTTTACTACTTACTATGTCCTAGTAATATATTTAACTCAGTAATAATAATTGTCACAAAATGGTCTTGGATTTTATCTTCCCTTAGAATATCGTGAGCAAGTGATTGTGAAAAAATCGAATAAACGTTTACATAATGAAAATGAAGAAGAAATACCTGCTAACAGGCTGTCCAAAATTCCATCGTCTTCAACATCACACCTAAAACATCGCGACAGTGATGTTGCAACAGTTGATGATGACGATGCTGATGGTATTTGTGATGAAGAAAACGATGAAGTGGAAGATTTAGAAGCGATAGATGGAGATACTGAAGAAGTCATTGAAGTTATGGATTCTAATATGAAAGAAGCTGCTGCTGTGAGAAACCATCGACTAGTTAGTGGTATTAGTGATGTTGAAGATGATGGCAGTTCGCAAAGCACAGAAGCTTTGAATGAAAATGAAGATTTATTTTAATTAATATTTCGTTGTAGTTTTTGTCCTTTGCGCTTCTGTCAGCGTTGTAAAACACTTTGATTCGAGCATATTTTCTTGATATATAGATTGAAAGATTTTTCCTGTAAATTATTTTGTGTTCAACTCCTTTCCACAACGTTGATTAAAAATATATATATTACAAATAGTTTTATTAATTCTATTTTTTTGTATTATTCTGTTTCCTCCTTGCTCACACACCTTGGTTAAGAATGATTCAAAGCTCAGTCAGTGGTGTTTTTTCATTATTCAAACTGACAATTCACGTGTTCTTAGACACATCATAATTAGGGAACTTTTGCACCAATGTAATTATTCGTTTGTGTGCTTTGAATTTCACACCTTAGTGATGGAATCCTTGAGTTCTGCGATATTATTGAAACTGTCTGTTGTAGATAAAAGTGACAGATCGTTAGAAATGCAGTATATGAGGGATGCGCCAATCAGGATTGAAAAAACTTTCAAGTTTATTTAGAAATTTAAGACTAAATGAATTTTTGTCTTTCTTCATACAAAATTTCTGATAGAAATAATTTTGTACATTGCTCGAGCTGTTCAAAAGTTATCGGAAAAAAAAATTATAATGCTAAACTTATCAAGTATACATTGACTTGCCTATAGATTTCATATAACACGTCTCGCTTCGTTTAAAGTAAATGCAAGACTTTCGTCATATCGATATGACGATAACCACCGTTCAACCGGTCATAATTAACCTCTTATCAAAGTATGTATGTTTATGTGGTTTTCGTAAAGAAACTATTAACGTAAATAAAATCACATTCACATTTATAAAGTTGTGTTAGTTCCACAATCTTAACATCAAAAAACTGACTTGAGAAACCTATGAACTTTTTAAAGCAGATTAGTTGAAGTGTGGCTTCGAATTCGCCCGGTGTTTTTATGAATCGCTCAAGCTCGTTCTCATTCCCCGTAAACTACAATTGTTGACTGTACTCCATTGACAGAAAATGATGAATAATAAGTCAAAATGTAACTGGCAAGTAAGTACAGATAAACACGTATTTGAAGTAAAATAATAGATACCGATTAACTGAAGAATAGTTACTAGTTTCCCAGGTTGAAGATGCGTATCCAGCCACATTAAATGTGAGAGCTTACCTTATGTCATCTCACTAGCTGACTGATGCTAATGTATTCGTGTGTCATTTTACTCTTTCAGGTTTATATATGGTTCCGAACTCGAACAGTTGGATTACTGAGTTGATTGTATCATGTCTCCAGTATAGTATCGTTAACCAACTATTTTCGGTTTTAACAATATTTCTGTCGCTTGTGCGACTCTTTCCATTAATGTACTTCTCTAATTTTCTTCATTACGTTAACAAAGCCTCTCCACATATATTGGAAGTTAATAAATTCGAGAAATTTCGAAACAACGTTTCCTGTTATGTTATTTAAGAGGATAAGTGCTTTCTACGGGTTGAGGTTGATGACCGTCCAGTGGATGTGTTAAATTCGAAATAGATAGCCCTCACCATTTTAGTAGCCCGAGATTCGATTCCAGCTGGACGAATGGTTCAGTATGCGATGAAATAAATCCTCCTTGCCATTTCTGTATATTAATATTTAGGTGAAGCCTGTTTGTCCGACGATGATAATAATGAGCTAAATACGGTTTTTTTTGATGAATTTATTTCATGCATTCATTGAAACAGACAGACGTGAAAATGATAAGCCTGCAAGTAAATTAAAGCCAAGGCTAGTGGGCCAACTCTCATGCGATAAAGTATGACTAAGTGTTTATGGTCGGGCAATAATAGACTAGACATGTAATAAGCGAGTAAGCATCCACACACACAATCAAATATACAATAATCGATACTGTAATCGAAATGTTACAAATATAAAAATGGTTGATACATTTATCAAATAACGTAAATGACTAATTATTAAAGTTTGTATAATGAAAAAATGGTGTGGTCCTACAACTTTATTCATGACCGTCCATTGTACCCGATTTTAAGACAGGCAGTAACTTTGGAAGAATGTAGGATTTAATTTGTCCTACAGATGTAATTCTGGAACGGTAAACGCAATATTGGCGACCACAGAGCCTATGGAAAAGCTATAGTTAGAAGAAGATCAACTTTGCTTTAAACTTTATATGTTTCTAAACAAACAAAAAACAATTAAATTAGTACAATAAATAAGGAAATTATAATTATCAAGTAAGACGAGCAAATGTACCGCCCAATATAGCGTGTCTTATGGAAATGAGTACAGTTATGAGTCACATCAATATAATAAGATAATAATGTAAATCAATTTGTAGGTCATTTACAACAAAGAAAGTTTACAGACGTGTCAGATCAGATGACATGGTGGGCGCTCAAACCACAATTTGATTGGTTAGTTATGACATAACTACAATTAGTTATGAAAATAATTAACAAAGAACTCCAGGTGGAGTTATCCGAAAAGACGCTACTCACAGATCGTTTAAATTGAACGCTTATCAGAAAGATCTTAACAATTTGAATCACATAATATAAGTGAAATTTCAATCAGGGGTGATAACAGTACAGACCACAAAATTGTTATCAGAGTAAATATTATGCTCGTAAATATTGCATTATCTCAAGAAGAAGGAATTAGTAACAACATCATAAGTTTTAAAATGACATTACGTTGCATAGGACACAACAGCAGTTAACAACCAACATTTTCTCAATAAGTTGACTGGAACTTTGTGCTTACAAAGGGGATTATTTAGCGAATGGTGATTTCATTCCCCTTATATATAGTTCACTAATAATCGTTTACATCTAGAGCAAAAAAAAGGAAACCGAAATCATAATAACCGTTGATTCCAAAAGTTTAATTCTTGGACCTCAATCAATACACGATACAGAAGAGTTCAAATCGTCCAATCTCACTACAGTTATCAGCATTTTTTCAACAAGTTCTTATCCCACTAGTGATGACTCCCGTATGAATTTTAGACAATTGAATCCAACTACATTCCAATTCATTAGTTTCACTGTAGATCAAGCTTATAAAGAGATATATGATTATATTATTAAATAAGAGAGTAGTATACTTCTGAGGTAAACTAAATAATGAGGAAACCAGTATTTAATGATTCTTGGTATTCTGTGTGATTCCAGGATGAATAACATCACTCAAACTGATATAATCTGCACAATTCAAACTATTTTAAATACATTTTGATAAACTGTTATCTGAAATAAAAATCATTTTCATTTGTACCTGCTTAACGCAATAGCTATATAAAATGAGATTGAATGTATGTATTTATCGATCGACCTCTGGTTTTATCAATACGCAAATGATTGTTTCGAAGTAAGCATAGAGGTATTTATGAGTTTGATAGATGTTACCTATGTGTGTTTTTGGTAACATTGTTTTGTGTATGTATTTTTAACTAACTTAACAACGAGTTGAAATCTTCTTCTTACATAATTTCTTTCGATAATTTATTGAGAAATTTTTACAATGTCGAATTGAACTGGCTTACTTTGCTTGATCGATTAATTGTTTCAATAATAACAGGCGAGATGTGAGAGTCAGTTTTAGGAAATGCTGAGCTGTGAATTAATTATCTAAAGATAAGGACAAAGTAATTTGACGAACCGATATTGTGTCTGAAGTTCTCTCCTCATCGATCTTTCTACGCTTGACTGGATTTTGAAGGCAAAAAAATTGATGAAAACAACTGGATGCATTATCCAAATAATTGTCATCGCTCACGAATCGGAACGTAGCTATACTCACCAATACTACAGTGTCATCAATTCACCTTTTTTAAATGTCCAGCTATCTTGATCACGTAGACTGTACTGTACACTGATAATACATTTACGTAAACCGATCAGACAAATGACCTTTTGACGCATAGTTTTAATGACCGTATATCCTAATATCTACGACTTGAAGTACCTTCGTCTAGTTAGAATGTTAAGTCAGAAGAAGCGATACAGTAAGCAAATTTATCCTCTACTGTTGTATCATTCTGGCTTGATTACGTAAACCATTATAAATGTCAATTACCTGACTACAACACACCACAAAATATTACATTCTGTTCATAACTCTATCATACGTGATGCAAAACTGGGCGTCATGTTTATAACTATTTTTAAGCAATAAAATATACGACTAGTTATGAAGTTAAATGAGAGTTTAAAACAAGAGCAGTACATACAAATACCATAAGTCTAAGGTGCACACGACGTTCATAGTTCAATGTGTCAACACAACTGATAGGATCCATGGCCTAATAAATCAAGGAACATGGTTCTACTATATCTCAAATAATTGATACGAAATAGGAAATGGTCATTTGCAAATGAAATCGGTTACAGTTTGCCATTACTTATTAGTACTGAGATTAGAGAATAGGTAGTGTGTATGTCAGCAATGACCTCCAGATAAATGTGAAAATCATCTACTCATCATGGTTGATCAATGTTCAAATTTGACACACTATTCAACTTCGGTGTACAATGAACTGAGTGATGCCTCTGTAGTTTTCACACTTGCTGAGATCGCCTTTCTTTGGTATTTTGATGAGGTATCCTTCTTTCCAATCTGATGGTACTTGTTCCTCATCCCAAATCTTCTTGAAGAGAATGTGAAATATTTTCGCAGTTGCTTCCACATCTGCTTTCATTGCCTCTGCTGGAATGTTGTCTGGTCCTGCTGCTTTGCCGCTCTTGATTTGTCTGATGGCTATACTGATCTCCTCAATCGTGGGTGCGCCAATATTAATTGGGAGGTCTTTGGATGCTGCTTCGATGTTGGGTGGTTTCAGTGGAGCTGGTCGATTCAATAGTTCCTTAAAGTGCTCCACCCACCTATTTCGCTGTTCGTCAGTGTTGCTGATTATTTTCCCTTCCTTGCTTTTCACTGGTCGTTCTGGTTTACGATAGTTTCCGGCGAGCTTCTTTGTTGTTTCGTACAATTGTCTAATGTTTCCTTCTCTTGCAGCCTTTTCC